GGGGTGCTGGGAGGCATCCAGAGAGGAGAAGAAAACCAGTCTCTGCATCACGCCCCTGCCTGCGGGAGCGCAGCTTTTCCGCTGACTCCTCGCTCCCGTGGGGGTCATCGGCCGGCAGATGTTTGCCTGGATGGAGTGCTCGGATCCAACCCCCCGCTGCAGCCAGGCAGCCGGGTCAAGGATCAAAAGCCTGTTTGGGTGGGTGGGGGTGTTCTCCCTTCCCCGCTCCCATCCCCAGCCCCTTGCCACACTGCCGGCTGGGGATGCTCCTGCCCTGTGCAGCCGGGGCTGCGAGCTGGCTCCAGGTGAGAAGGAAAAGGCAGCGTCTGCATGAAAAGGGAACATTGCAATTAAATGGCACATCTGCCTGCGGGGACGCAGCGCAGCACATCCCCGGGGCCCCGGTGAGGGGCTCAGAAAGCCCCCCGGGAAGCAGCCCTGCTCACCGGGTTACCGACACATCCCCATCGCCGGCCCCATGGATGCCAGCCCTGCGCTCGCCCCGGGCCCCTCCGCTCCCCAAGGCAGCCGTGGCAGCGTGGGAAGGGCGTCAGGATAAAAGGCTTTGTGAAAACCGAGTGGGCGCCTTAACGAAGCTTGTGGGAAGCGGTGGGGAGTTGCTCTTGTAGTAAAGTTCATGTCGGAAAGATTTGTAATGGAGTTTCCTCCCTGTTACGGAGGGGCTGCTGCTTGGATCAGTCTTGGGGTATATCCTCTTCCCAAAACCCAGAGCAGGGGGAAGGGGAGATGGGTCCAGCCACAGTGGGGCTGATGCTTCATCCGGGGTCCCTTCCCAGGCTAAACATCCCCCCCATGCCGGAGCAGGGACTGCGGTGGGGTGGGCTGGCGGGGAGGAGGGGGCAGCGGAAATGTGGCGGAAACGTGAGCTCAGTGTTTGGGAATGCCGCGGCCGGCCGAGGCGCCGGGGCCAAGGGGAAGGACGCCAGCCCTCTCCCTCTGCAAGCACCATCCCTCCGGCAGCTTCGTCCTTCCCCGGTGCCCAGGCCAGGGGCTGCATCCCCGCCAGCCCCCCGACCAGGCGACGCGTCTCTCCTCCCTTGCCTTGGCCAGGCACTCCGCTGGGACGTGCAGGAGAGGGCAGCTTGCTGCCTTCCCTTGGGATGCTCGATGTGCCACGGGAGCGGGTGGAAGGAGGGCTTCCCGGCAGCGCGGAGCCGGGGGTCGGTGCCAGCCCATGCCGCGCCAGCACCCGTTTCCTGCCGTAACCGCGGCTGCTCCTGCCGCTGTTTAGTCTGCGGGCTGGTGCCAGCGCACACCACGTCGCGTGGGGACCGGGCTCGCTGTCTGCCTGGCTTAACCCTTGATGGCAGCCCCAAGGGTGACAGGACAGGGTCTGCCCGGGGATGGGATCGTTTGCTGGGAGTTGTGGGATGTTTCGGGGCTGGAGGGCGCTGGTGGAGGCATCATCGCTTGGGTGCTGCTGCGGATGCAAACCATCACACAGCCCCCTCATCTCTTTCCTCCTCCCCAGGGTCCGGCTACTACACGGCCGAGAGCCACACCAATGAAGTGTACGTGGAAGAAGCCCCCCCCGAGCCTGCCCTGGACTACCGACGAGGTAACGGCACCCCAAGCCCAGCCCTTGGGTCCTCGTGGGAAAACCGAGCCACAGCAGGGCCAGGTTCCTCCCTCACCTCCCTCCTCTCCCCCAGTTCCCCAGTGGTGTGCCACGCTCAACATCCACCGCGGAGAGGCCACTTGCTACTCGCCCCGGGGCAGCTCCTACCGCAGCAGCCTGGGGACGCGCTGCGAG